TCCCCAAGAAAATGCTGCCTGTCGAACGTGGGGTGCATAAAATCAGGGAAATGAGAAAAATCAAGAATGACTGTTTTCCGGTCTCACCCCCCCCCTCATCGACCGATACGACTCTCATAGTTCAGATCCCAAGCGTACGACGTGCTCTATGTGATGCTTCGGGACAACAAATACAATACATGATCTCACCTTTTTCTTCAACTGTGTCTTGCTCATATTCTTGTGTCGAAGTTTCTTGCCCAAGAACTTAGGCATGACCTTCATACCTGTTCCATGAATCTCTCCTATTGACTGCTTCACCTACAAAACAAAACGGCTTACGGGTATCATGGTGGGTTCAGAGCACTACATATCAAACATACTGAAATGCACGAATAATCTGACCTGTTGCTTAACTTTATCGCTGAGTTCCCGTCCAACCAACGTTTCACCCTTACTGTGTGCTGACCGTCGCACCTGTAAGGCACACTTTTATCAGAAATGCATCTTTTAGCCATGAATAGGGAGTCTTCTCGAAAAACATGAGGGAAATACGATGAAACTTTCTCGAAATTGGCTATGGTGAGTAGATTTGGCCAGAAATTTGTCCCATTCGTTATCATTGAAGTCAGTCAGGGCATGTAAGCTTTGCGTGGCTTAGGCGCGGTGCAGCTCTTTCTCCATGGATCGCTGAGAGTTCGATCGTTTAACGAGTAGTGGGATAGCGACTTGCGCCGCGCCGAAACCCGGGCAACGCTGGCACGCTATGGCTGACTCCGGCGATAACGATTGCACATGCACGGGCGCCAAGCGGCAGATCGTATTCTTTAACCATGAGGTACCACTCAAAAGAATCATAGTTTGGTCGTAGAGCACTACAGGCGGCGCAAAAAAGTGGACTGGTCCCAAGTGATCACATGTTGAGATGTGCGAGGCACACCCGTTGCGTGCGCCGAGGTGGCGGAGGCCAAATTGAAAAAAAAAATCCTAAACGGTTCCAGAGCACTCCAGACACCGGGAAAAAGTAGTTTAAGATCAGCGAGGGGTCATCGGTTGAGAAGCGCGAGGCATACGTTGTGGGCGGAGCGTGCGCCGAGGTGGGTGGAGCCAAATTTAAAAATTCCTAAAGCGGTTCCGTAGCCAATGCGTTGCGGACCTCCTCTGTGTGATACGGCCCGGCCTTGCGGGGCGTGGCTTCATCGCGCCTACCTGCATTCGTATGATCATGCTCGACTAATACCCGGCTTTTCTCTCATCTGTCCACTTGATCAACGCTCCTTACCACCATTCCATACACCGTAATAGTGTTGAAAATAGCAGGTATGATGCTATTGGTCAAAGAATGTTGACCATCTGTTCAGATAAAAGAAAAGCCGGATACTAGGTGGGTACTGAAATGTGTGAAAGAAGGTAAGCGCGGCGGAGCCGCGCCTGCCCGGCGAAGCCGTGCTGTATCTCAGAAGGAGGCGCGCCGGCGTAAGCGAAGCCAGCCGGTAAATGATAAATAATCATCAAACAAACATCAGTGAAAACTATACCTTCGCTCTTATGGCCATAAGATTCTCAATAGAGAACTCGACTATTGGCCGTCGTTCGTTAGTAAATGTATTTGGATTGTTGTTAAGTTTCTGGAGACACTGTAAAGCATCCTTGTGCTCGGAAAAATTGACGAATGCGAATCCTTTCGACTTGGGATTGCCCTTAAAAGATCATTTATTATGGCTCAAAAAACACGATGTGTTGCTAAAGTGAGGTTACAATATAGATCCGTAACTTCAAATTGCAGAACAACCTGAAAATGCAACGGATAGTTTGGAGCAGGTGTCAGCTCTATAAGCTTGCATTCGTTTAGAATATGGTTCATGGTGATGAAGTAACCAGAATTGAAGTAAAAAGCGCTCCGCCTTGGAATGGGCATTTTGCACTTCCGCTAAGTCCTGTCACGAGTTTGTGTTCACTAACAGGTCTCATTTTAGTAAGACGTAAACTCTTGTGAATCTGCCGGATGGGGTCTTCAAGAGGTAAAACTGCGTCGAGCATAAGACGAGTGGATATTCGTCAAAAAGTTACAACTTGTACGAATTCACAGCTGTTTACCTTGGCATCCAACTTTGAGGTATCCTTCCAGATACGACACTCCGTTATATGCGCTAGTTGTCCAGCAGCTTCCCGGCATATCTGTTTTAGTTTCTCATCGGTAAGCGATAACGGAAGGTTGTGGATCATCAGACGTGTGGGAGATACAAACCTAAAAACGGTTCAGATATCGACGGCAGAGTGCTCAGTTCAGATAGCTACCGAGTCCACCCTGGCAAAATTACTGGCTAGACTCTTACATATGCAAATTCTCCAATTTCTTTCTTGATAATTCGGCTAATCGTTGTCGTTTTGACGAGTCCTCAGAGCTCATCCCTTTTGCAGCAGAGGTCCCTTCACGAATCAATGAAAATCGAATGAGGCGCAAATTTCTTTTGTCCTCGGGCACCTGAAACAAGCTTGTCAAAACCTACAGTGTCTTTTCAGAGCAGCGCATAAAGCCGCATCCTCACATAAATCGCTACAGGTACATGCTTGTTCGGTGCGTATGATGAGGTGCGCCAATGTAGCTGTGTTTGGCGCAGTGTCAAACCCATTTCCACAACTTCTTGAAGCGGGTTAATGACAACAACTGGTGGAAAACGGCTGGTATGACCGAACAGTCTTATTGCTTCCTCATTTCAAAAATTGGTGGAGAACAGGTATGGCACCGCGCCAGGCGCAGCCGCACTGACGCGCCCCATCATTCGCGACGAACAACTTTGTATCAATGATTCCTCGAAAACTGATACTGAATGATCCAAAATCTCCAATCTCATTCCGTTTGCTCAAATAGAAAAAAAATGTTTTCAAACGGATAGAAGGGAAGCGAACATATGTTCATGAACAAAAAGATTCGGAAATTCAGTGGAATTTATGGGGATCATACCTTTACACTTTTCTTTTTCTGAATTTCAGCAGCACTCTCACGTTGGATAGCAACTGATCCTTTTACATCCCGGCCATCTAAATGTGAAAAAGAAACTTTTGGGAAGGCAAATTCGGATCTATGCTAAATCAAGAGGTTATTCAATTCGAATCTGTGACCCACCAATCACAAGACCATTTTCCGTAGCCTCTATGCACGCTCTTGCCTCCTCCGGTTTTGAGAAATGTACGAACGCCGTGCCTTAAAAAAAAGGTGAAAGATTTCAAAGATATTCAGAAAAAACTACTCAAATTCCATCAGTATACGTTCAAAAACGGTCTAGTGGATTATCGAGACATATAGCTCTCAGATGTAAGTTTACAAGAAGGTTAAACAGAAGAAATCAAAGAATAGAAATTTAATGCGCCACCAGACCGTAATCTACTAAGACACATCTCAAGGACAGGAATTGCTCCATATCCTGGAGATGGGGGGCACGGCTGTCGCTAACATTTATGGCAACACCGGAGTGGGAACTTCCACTGCTTCTCGAGAGGACATTTATGTTTATAGACAAATGTCTGCTCTGCCTGTCATCCTGTCTTCTGGTGGACGAGAACACGATCGCAGTTGTCCCGAAACGGCAATTTCCCATCAAAGCGCAGCACCCCGCCACGTTTAGAAAGAGTACGCAGCCACGCCCACCCCATCGTCGCTACATGGTCATCTATTCATAAATGAGTGACTCAACCCTTTGGATGTCCACTGTCTCGAAATTTACAGCATATAGCGAGCTTCACTTCTCCGAATTTCTCCATTTCAGTTTTCAGGGCCTCGTCTGTAGTACCAAAAGAGAGATTCCTAAAAATTATTACAAGCGGTTGTTTATAGATTACAATGTGATAATATCACCTCAAGAAGACCACACGCTGTTCATCTATAGCAGAATCTTTTCGCTTTGGTTCATCTTCCTCATCACTCTCATCCTCATCCTCTTCATCTACTTCCATGTTCGCATCTTCGTCAGGCTCGTTATCATCTTCGTTACTGCTATCGTCACTTATCTCCTCATCACTGGAAGCTACTGGTTTAGGTATCTCCTCGTATAGTCTACAGTACAATCTCAACCTCATTTCCTCCTCTTCTTCATCTTGCAGTTTGCTAATGGAAGGCTGCTCAAGTTTCTTCTTGGAGCTGTAACACTTTAGTTCTGCTAGCAAGGACACACACTGAATAATTGTGAGCTACTCTCACCTTGGTTTCTTTTCTTTGTTCACCTCCAGATCGTCCTCCTTTTCCAATTTCACTTTCTTCTTCAGTTGTTCACTTTCTAAAACAGCACAGAATAAATAACTTGCACAGTAACAATAATTTACTTCATACCTTCCCGAGCAGCTGTTTCGTAGGTATCCTTCGGCAGTGCCCAATCTGCAGCGACCATTCGACCCTGTCAGAAAGGAAGTTCAAGTTAGCACCATGGAACAACAGTTGTCCGGGCTTACCATTAAGTAGGCCCGTAACAAATAACGCCAAAAAATACTAAGATAGTTAAAGGTAACATGATCCAAACAGGTCCCACTTGAAACTTGTTGCTATTGAAAAATTCTCGAGCCTTCTCAGCGGCTTCGCGTGTTTTGAACTGTACGAAGGCAAAGCCGGCTGCTCGTCCAGGCATCTTCTTTGACATCGGTAAAACAATATCGGTGAACGATCCAAAAGGTGAGCAGGCGTTCTGCAGGTCTTCACGCGTAGTCTGGAAGATTGAGTAGATAGATAGAGGCCCAAGAAAAAGAAACTCTGATTAATGCCGCCGTTGATGCAATAAATACGCGGAGGCCACTTAAAGAATCTTCTGAACCGCTGATTATCCAAGACGCTAGTGATCGATGCCTATGCTATATTTTCCTTTGAGAACGCCGATTCTCCCAAAAAGGAGAACGCCGACTCTCCCAAAAAAAACGATTTGAAAAGTATGAACCAGTCTAACAACCCACTTCGTCGCGCCGGCGTGCGGCCCGCCCCAATTACAACTGCGCCAACAATGCGGTTTTCGTATGACCACATCCTGGAAAAAAATAAAAACAAACCTTGAAGGGCAGGTTTCTTATGATCATTCTCCATGATTTCAGCTTG